CAATCGGTTGTAATGAAAATAATAAGTATAATAAAGAAATTTGTTAATATCGTTCCACGCACAACACGGTCATTCTTGCAAAACGTATTTGAAGCCTGCGTTTAAAGTCCTGATTCGTTAATTAACACGATTAGTATGCAATGCGTTGACACAACGTCGTCGCGCTCGTAACACGTACACAAAGTATATGTATATTAAGTGCAGTCTATAATACCTTAAGGTCTATCGCACGACATTCCGCGAATTATCGGAAAGCTTGTTCCGGATTGGACGTGATTTGAGCAATGCAGATGCCGACAAGAGAGGTGGGGGGTGGGGGGGGGGGAGTAACGGGAGCGCTTAGGGAGCGCGGGTGTACCACTTAGCAGATGCACCGTGTATCCCGCTCTCGTTATATCACAGTGAGAGTTTGACGTTTAACACTGACTTTCTTCGAGGCCGCAGTCGATTTTAACGCGCTTTCCATCCGTCGCGAATCAAGATAGACCACATCGGCGCGTATAGGAGACACCATATATTCCAGCAGTGTGAATCAACGCGTAAAATGAATCTTGAAATCCTGCGTTATTTACTTTTTCTCACAATTCCTAATACACTTTCGATGAAATTTACCTTTAAATCTACTTTTCTACTTTATTTTATAATCTTACACACTTTTACAGTATTTAATCTAAATTTCTTGAAACATAAGAAATTTATAGACACTCTTTTTTAAAGATGTGTTAGATTTATATAGCAAAGTTATTAAAATTTAAATAGAACATAGAATAGAACATTAAATAGAATATTTTTTTATAAACAATATTTGATATAAGCCGAGTATATGTTAATGAACAACTAAGAGAAACGTTCCATACACAGTAATTCCTCGGCAAACAGGATCTTAAATGCTAAATTTCTATATGAAATAAATTCAAATAATTATGTCACCAATCACGTGCCACTATTTTTTAGCAGATTTCCAACGCAGCGGTTCTACAACAATTTGATATCGATTAAAAATTCTTTTTATTATCTTCCCCACAGGAAATATTTTTTTTTATATAGTGTGAAATATTAAATATATTTATAAAAAATGAAAGGATTATAATGAAGATTAAGTATAAAACAACGTGATTTTTAACATTTTCATGAGAAAAAAAAATATTTAGGAATATATTTTTTTTAATGAACAATTTTTAGTTGTTAATAGTTTCTGAAATAAACTACAAGAAACAGAAATAACTAATAATTTGTAGGAAGATTTTTATTACACCAGATTTTACTATAGGTATCAAATAAATTAAACATACGTGAAATAGTAAATAAAAATAGTCAATTACGTACAACAAATTAATAATTTAAAATAATTTTAAAAATGTTCCTCTTATGTTATTCAATTCCTATATTTGTGTTGTAATATGCTATTTCTATTTTTTTCTGATAAAAATCAAATATCAATTAGAAATATCAATTAGAAATATCAAATAATTTTCAAACTACTCCAAGAATTATATTCAATTTTTATACGATTCAGTTTTTATACAAATATATAGCAGAAATAATAGAACAGTCTACATAATTTTCATGCTTTTTACTAACGTTTGGTATATGATACGTACATTTTTAAGGAAGATAATTTTAAAAATAATTTTTTATAATTGAAAGTAATGAAAGAATCATAGTTTTTGAAGAATATTATTACTATTCTTGTTTATTCCTATTGATATTTTAAATCTTTTTCTGAGAAAATATCGCAACGCACGCGATACGCGTCTAATGTCTGAAAATTCCAACATCTGAATTGCTTAGAGACATCGCGATTATCTCTTCGATCAGTCTTGTCTGGCCGCGAGGTATTGGAGGAAATCTCTAGAGAGATATCGCTTACTGTTCCACAACGTAGGTTGTCGTGGAACAAGTTGCAAGCTTAATGGGTCACCGAACATACGCTTGTTATCCAATCACTGTACTGTAAGATCGATCGAGAGAATATGCGTGTTTACGCCTATCGAGTAAAATAACAATCGAGAATGAACAGCGAAAAATGCCGCATAATTGAATAAATTAAATTATACTGAAAAATCTAATTGCGTCATTGTATGTGATAAGTATTATTTCTATCCTCTCACGACATTTTGTTGTGCTCAGAGAAAAAAGTAGTAGCAGCAGCTAGAAAGTCAATGATAAATAGCACTTCAATTGTATATTATGAGATAAAATAAATAAAGAATGTATAAGCTAAGGGAACATCGATATTCATATTTACTTCTTATATTTAAGATTGTCCTGATTACATACTTAAGATTTCATAAATTAATCACAGAATCGTATAAGTATCTTAAGACATTATTCAAGATATATTGAAATAAAAACGAACTATGAATACTGATGTTTCCAATAAATATACGATAAAAAAATTCAGTACAAGAAGAAGATAATAATCTAAAATATAAAATATTTATAATATAATATAATATAAAATATAAAAGTTTATTTATTTTTATTAAAAATATTATTAATATGAAAAATGTCAGAATGTGTATATATATATTTTATTTTTAACATTACAATTATTTTAAAGATAAAATTATATCTTACAATAATTTTTCTTTTTCACACACATTCTTATGCGACATATCTTATATGAAGAATTCCGAAACTATGAGTGCGGTTTGTTAATAACAGAATTTTTCGTTCACTTTCTTGATTAGTCTCGAAAAATCATTATTTATTGCCTTATTATCTTTTTGTTATTGAAGGAATCAATTTTATTTTTCGTTTATTCTTTTTACTTTTTGAATTATTTTATTTATTTCCAATATTATTGATTTCTCGATATTTGTAAAATATTTCTGTTATAAGTTAAATAAAGAATTCTATTGTCGAAATAACATCCGATTAAAATCTTAAATTAATTTGAATTTATTAAATTTATATGAATAAAATTAAATACGCAAACGAGCCCAATTTCGTATATTCACTCACGTGTATATCCGTGCTCAATCAGAGATCATAAATCGCAAAAGTAACTCCGACAGTCAAAGGGTTAATTGTCACGGGACTGACTACAGCTTAATATACTTATAGTTTAATGTCCGTCCATCAACGTAGAAGGTCGCGATTACCTCGAGGGCACGTAACTTTACAACGCGACCCGCATTAATAATCGTACTCCCCTCGCTCTTCCCTGCCCCCCCCCCTCCCGCGTCGCTCTAATATGAAATGGCCGTGTGTACTGATCTTTCCTTATCTGTTGCAGCACTTTCCACAGCCACCGAGGATGTGGGAGATGGGCCTCAAGGAAACGACAACGACACCGGTGAGTGATTTACGATTTCTTGGAGAAAAGGAGCATTTATTTTAATTACTCTTTTCTCCTTCACGCGGATTTCGAGTCTGGATTATATATTAAAACTCTTGTAGATCGATCCTCCGATTCGCACCGATGTTACATCTGTAAACGTACGAATCGATCGAAGCCACAATGTTGTAATAATTTTCCAAATATTCACATCAGCTAAAATTTATTCGACATTTGTCATTTTACCTTTTTTTTTTTTATCTTTTAATCCCCCAAAAAGAAAGAAAAGAAAAAAAAGAAGACATGTGAAAGATCATAGGATCGTAGAACTCGGAATTCGTGAGGAGACATTTCGTCAGCCATGTTCGTCGGGATTTGGTCCAGGGTCGACTGGTCCAGTTTCCGAGTGAGCGGCGAGATTGATGCTAAAAGATTAATATGCGCGTAATCCACAAATTAATGCACTTGACCAATCGGATTCGGATCTTTTAATTGCAAGTGCAATAGTTAGTTCATCGTACTAATGTGGCTCTGCGCATTAGATTGTTTATTAAAAAATAATCGAAAAAACCATAGGTAATTATATGAACTTAAATGTAACTATAATAAATTTTATTATTTTCTTCTATAGTTTCAATTTTTACATTCCAAGGGAAAGGAATTATTAAATATTCGATTATTAAATATACGGTTGTTTTTGCATGACGTGGAATTTCTCATTTAAGAAACAATTAGATTGGAGTTTTAAATATAGTAATGAAAGATACACATATAAATGTTTTATACATATATATTTTTTGTTTTTTATTATAAATAAAATATATACATTAAAGATTTTCTAATACCAACGCGAATATTTGACAGTATTTGACAGTTTTGATAAAATATATGTATATTTCTTTTGACACCGTGAAATGTTCGGTCTTTGTTTTACTTTTGAAATATATAAATAATGTATGTGTATGTATATGCGTGCGCGTATGTAAAAATTGTCACTGTGTAACCTATTAAAAAGATTTGACATGATACATCATAATAAATAGAAGAAGTAGAATGAAAGGAAGCGATGGAGAATTATGAATTTATGATATTCGCTTGCTAATTTACAATTTATAACTACAAATAAAAACAATTAAAAAAATCCATTTTTATTAATATGGATTAACATTAAACTCGATTTAATTTAATCCTTTTTTTTAATGTCATAAGTATTAGAAAAAATAAAAAGTAAATTAAACTAAGATTAAAATTAATTTACATTGAAAGGGATGTAAATGTAGTCTTTTGTTTCGATTATTTTTGTTTCGATTTTAAGCAGGATTAATTGCATCCAAATATTAATATGTCAATGTTTAACGAAACGTTATTTTCGCTGCGCTCAAACGCTCATTAATTAGCGTTCGAAATAGAAATGGTAATTCCTTCCGAGTATGCGCAAACGCGGACGTTTATTCAGTCTCATGTAAAGTAAAGATTAGTCCCAGATATAGTTTATATCACTTGCGACAGCTGTGTAGTAATGGCCGATGTACACACACAGATGCAGACATCGCAGGAGGTTTTTGCGTTGTCGCTCAACAGAGACTGACAATGAGTCACACCGAATCTACATAGAAACTGATTTTTCAGATCATTAAATAAAGAAAGATTTATATAAGCATGTGAATAACACATGTTATATAAAGATGACTTACGCCCAATTCCACCGACGTGGATTAATTTTAATCTCGGCTTTCAGCTTACTCTTCATCTTTTTCTTAGTTCTAAGAAAGAACTCAAGCGGCTCGTGCGTAATGCTATTGTCGTTTGAAATAAACAATTCCTCAAGCGCCTATCAACCATGATCGCCGGGCGGGAGTATCTTACCACGCGCTTGCATTTATCGAGCTAATAGAGGTGATTTTTAATAATTAATAACTCGATAATTATCGCGAAAATTGCAAAAAATGATAGAGGACTTGTTTAATCAGTTTTACCAGTTCTACCTGTACACCTGTGAGAGATGATATGACCGATACCCTGATAGATATATATACATACATACATGATATATGTATAAAAACACACACACACACACACACACACACACACACACACACACACAC